GAGCTGGGCGCCGTGTGCGGGGCACCGGGAGTGCCGCCGCTTCCCTCAGCGCAGCGTTCACCTCGCTTCTCCTTTGGCTCTGCAGCCCCGGAGAGCATCCCCATGGCAGCAATCTACTCGGGCATCCACCTGAAGCTGAAGAGTGCTAAGACTTCCTGGGAAGACAAACTCAAGCTAGCTCATTTCGCATGGATTTCTCACCAGTGCTTTCTTCCTAATGGGCACCGGGAGTGCCGCCGCTTCCCTCAGCGCAGCGTTCACCTCGCTTCTCCTTTGGCTCTGCAGCCCCGGAGAGCATCCCCATGGCAGCAATCTACTCGGGCATCCACCTGAAGCTGAAGAGTGCTAAGACTTCCTGGGAAGACAAACTCAAGCTAGCTCATTTCGCATGGATTTCTCACCAGTGCTTTCTTCCTAATAAAGAGCAAGTAAGTGCTTTTTAAGGATAAATGCAGGAAAAAAAGGTAATTGTCACCAAGGATGACCTGGTTTGTAAAAGCAAGGCCTTTGCCTCTTAATCTTCTGCATCTAGACAGGAGTGCAAATATGGTGCTAGTGGGGAGGGGAGGAGCAGCTCTTCATTTCAGTGTGGCTGTATGAAATGTTTTCTAACATTGTTTCAGAGTTGCCTCAGCTGAGAGATCCCCATTGGGATGGGAAGAAATGCTCTTCATTATAGAGAGGATGCTGTGGGTGCCATCTCTTGGATAAATGGGAAACCTCCATCTCCAGAGCCATCATTAGCGTCTTAGAGATGCTGCATTAGCATCTCTACAGGACTTTAAAGCCATTGTCAGCTGCTTCCAGATGCTTCTTGTCCTAGTTAAGAATAATAACCAAAAAAAAAAAAAACTTGGGGTGGAAGAATTGACTACAAGTAGATTATGTGTTTCCTGGTACTCTGAACTTCCTTCAGAAGTGTGGCCTAGGCTTTGCACTTTTCAAAAGCAGTATTTTGAGTTCCTATTGTTTCAGTTACCTATATTATAAAAACTAGTCATATGTCATAGTTTTATTCTGAATTCAATCACTTAAATCAGTGGTATAGTATAAATTTGAACCTGCCAAGAATAGGATATGAAAGGTAAAGTGAAAATCATATGTTTTTTACTGTCTTTGATTCAAAAGGTCATCTTTGCTAATTAGCATCAAACTGCACACTTCTACTTGCTGCTGAAGGAACTGGTGAAAGGATAGTAGGGTATTGACTGCTGAAAGCTGTTTTGTGTAGTTGCAGGGGAGCAGAGTCAAAACTGGATTTAGGATAAAGGGACTTAAAAGTTCAGATCTCAGCTGCAGCCTGCAAGGATGGACTCATGTGCTTGTTCACAGCCGTGGCTTGTTCAAAGCAATGGATAGAGCAGTTCTTTGATCATGGTCTGTGCTGTGATTGAAGAGACTCCTCCTCTTGGTGTCTTTTCATACGGGGATTGTAAAAGATCACTCCTCTTTTGTTAACAGGTATTGCTTGACTGGGTAAGCCATACATTGGTTTCATACTACAACAAGAAACTTGAGCTGGAGGATGAAGTTGTTGAGAAACTCTGGACATACCTAGACAATGTTATCCACAGTAGAAGACTACAGGATCTTTTAAAGAATGGAAAGACAGTCAATCTCAGTTTTTCTATTGCACAGGTAACTAAAATTACAGTTATTTTGTAAGATGGATAACATTGCAGTGTCTGCTACCATATGCGGCCCTTCCTCACAATGTAGGTTGTTATATAAAGTACATAATAATTAACACCATGCTTCTAGGATGCTTACTTATAAACTTCTCCCTTTCTGTTCTGCAATATAGTTTATATTTGTGCAGAACTAAGGCTAAGAATGGCAGAGCTTTCCAGACTCAAACTTCCTCTATCTCTCTGTCTTTAGTTTCTGCAAACTGTCAGAGAGGGACCTGGTTTAAGTATTTCAGTAGGTAAGTAAAGGCTGAGTTCCACTTGTTGGTCTCTTGTTTAATTTACTGTGTGTCTTGGGCCTAGAGGTCTTGGTGAGAGAGATTTTGCCCTTGCTGTGGAGCCCATCAATGTGTTTGGCTTGAGTACATGTGTAGCGTGAGGTGCTGTTCAGCTGACCCTGCCTGGGAACTTGCAGCTGCTTGTGATGGTTCTGAAGGAACTGCTGCTCTGATTCCCCCTTTTCCAGGGAGATAAGTCCCCGTCTCCCCAGCAGTCACATTTCCTGTACTGCTGTAGCTCTGTGGGCTGTGTATGTGCAAGTGCATGGGAGAAAATCCAAGGGGACTCTAACTGTTACTCCCTTGGCATGCATGTGGCACATGACATGTTTCTCCCCCTCTCCCAATGGCTCTCCTCATTTGTGGGACCCCACACATGCTAGACTTAGGAAGCTGGAGGGAAGGTACTATGCTGGAAGTATGATCAGTGTTTGCAGGTGAAAGTTTGACTGGGAAGCGGGAAGTGTTTTTCTCAGCTGAAGTCCTGTTTGTCCCACATCTTTCCATTTTTAAGCATTGTGTTACTCTGTGAGTTGAGTTAAACCAATTTATTGGTGATGCCAAGTAGTGATTGGCCTAATCAGAGAGTTGATGGAGCTGTTAACTGCAGTTCAACTTGGCCCAGAATTGAACCACAACCTGTAACTCATTATTAAAGGTCCTGGTTATAGAAATGGGAGTGTTGGTGGATGGCAGTGAAGGCAGCCAAAATGGCTAGGAAAATAGCCTTTTAGTAGTGCTCAGGGTGGATAGAAATAAGGCAAGACTGTTTCCACCTGCAGGAATGAGCTGTGGAGTACAGAGAGCTGGTCGGATGAAAAGAACTGAGCTTCAGAGATGATACAGAGATAGCCTGCTCAGGATAACTGTGGCCTGGGCGTGGAAACTTGTCTGGTTGTAGATAGGATAAGAGTTACAGGCCAGAGTACTCTGACCAAGGAGGAAGGTGGTAGGAGGAAGGGAAGGTGCTGTGGGAAGGATTCAGAAATCTGAATACAGTGGACCTTAGTGAGCTGAGGAGACAGACCATCCACTTGGAGGTACCAAGGACACAGCTGAGGTTTTAGTTGTGGAACAGAGGCAGATTTGCAAATTGTCTATTGAGAAAATTATCTGGAGGTGAGAAGGGAGAGTGAATAAAAAAATGTGATCCAGGGAGAAAACCATGTAGAAATGCCCACAAAAGTTTGAGGAGGGAAAATTGATGTAAAGTGAGTGTTAACTCTTACAATAATGCATCTGTTAGAAGAGGAGAAAGGACAGCTCTTCAGCTTCTGCATATCAGCACGGGAGTCCTAGGCTGCTCTTAGAACATGAAAATGATATTTAGTCATGGGCTTACATACTGAATAGACATCCTTGACCAAGAATATAAAGTGGGGTGGTTGTTTTTCAGTTCTATTTGTGGGGGAGAACAAGAAGGAATAATTTCAGGAACCTTGCAAGGAGGGAGGGAATATTGCCCTTTCTCCCTGTCTGCAGGACTAGCCATTCAGTTCAAATGCACACAGTTTCTGCTGTTGTCAGTAGCAGTCATACTGAATGAGAGATTCCTCGTGCATCCTGTGGTGCAAAGGAAGGGACACCCTTCTTGCCAGAGGGGCTTCTAGTCCGAGACCTGCGACACAGGAGGCCCAGCAGCAGCCGTTGACAGATCTCTGTTCCTTCTCCCTTGCAGCTAGAGCTGATGTTGGCTCATTATGATTATTGGCTCATTAAGATTAGCTTGATCTTTGTGTGAAAAATTGACTGTGGGGTTTGTTTGTTTCTTCCAATCTTCAGGTCATAAATGAGAGGTTGTCGGAGTCCTGTTCTCAAAAGGCGCGACAGAGCATTGGCACAGTGCTGAGCTGCTCCAGTGGTATCCTTTCCACTCCTTCACTCGCCATCATTTACACAGCTAAGTGTGAGCTTTTGGTCGATCTCCTCAGCAAGCTGTCTGAGCTGGCTTGTCAGCAGCTGGCTTCTGATGATGCTGTGAGCTCCCAGCTGTTCAGCACTCTGCAGCTTACCTTTGCTCAGTACCTCCTGATCCAGAGGCAACAGACCAACCCGAATCGTGTGTTTGGGCAAGTGACAAGCCATCTGCTCCAGCCATGCCTGCTCCTGAGGCACTTGCTGACTGTGAGGAACTGGACACAGGCAGATGACAGCCATGTGCGTCAGCACTGGAGCAGGGAAATCCGAAATCAAGTAGAAGTTCTGCTGCAGGCTGGACTGTTCCAGCCTGAGCTCTTCTCTTCCTACAGAGAAGAGCTGCTGCCAGAACGGGAACAGCAGGAGAAGAAAAAAGGAGCTCTGAAAAGTCTTTTGCTACCAGTTGACACAGTTCGGACCAAGCTGAGCAGTGGCTTTTGTGAACCTGCGCTTCATGGGGCTGTTGTGGCAGGTTCAGTGTCCCTGCTCTACAAGCTCTTTCTGGACTCTTACAGCAAGGGAGAAAATGCACTGCTGTGCTTCCAGCACAGAGCTGCTTGCCTTGGAGCAGCTTTTGAGCTCGGTGCTTAGCAGCGATGTCTATAACGTTGCCAGCGACCGCATCCGACACGAGGGGGTGCAGTTTGGCTTTTACCGCAAGCTGGCACAGCTGCTGGTGCGGCACGCTCAAGCGTCCGTCCCTGCGTGGTTCAGATGCCTCAAACTCCTGATATCGTTAAACCACCTCATTGTGGAGCCAAACCTGCGTGACTTAGTGGCCTCTGCCTGGATTGACGCAAAGGTCTTTGAGCCACGTACAAAGAGGCCCCAGGAGGCTCTTATTGGCGCCGTGTTTCAGACTTACTGCAAGCTGCGGCAGTTCCCTCGGCTCTTCGAGGAGGTGCTGGCCGTCATTTGCCAGCCAGCTGCTGACGAGCTGAGGGTGCCCGTCTTGTCTGCTGGCCTGACAGCAAAGCTTCGCGAGTGCCTCCTGGAGCTCCCACCCAACCAGATTCTGGACATTTTGTGTCTCGTAGTGGAGAAGTGCCAGACTCTGATCATTCCCGCTCTTGAAAGCGATTCGAACATGGTCTTGAAGCTGGGGTCCATCAGCTCGGTGCTGCACGCTTTTTTGTTCAACATGAAGAGCCTGGATGATGTCACCCCACCCCCTGTGGTCCTTCGCACTCAGAGTCTGCTGGCAAAGATACAGAAAGAAATAATCCAGCCCCTGCTGGAACTGTTGCAGGCTGCTAGAGAAGAGGAAGAGGAGCCAGAGCCTTGTTTAAGGAAGGCCAGTGACTCTGCCCTACTTCTTGTTTACACTTGGGTTGAAGTAAACACTTTGTTTGGTATTAGCTGCAGCAAGTATGTGTCTCCATCAGGTGGAATTGCTGCTACTGCAACTGCTATAAGGCAGTGGGGCATTTCAGCTCTGCTCCCTGGTGTTGAGGAACAGTGTTGGGAGAAAGTCACAGCACTTGCAAGTAGTTTTGCCTCCACTGGTAAATATTGCCTAGAACTGCTCACACTCCAGAAAATGAAGATGATTTTAATGCAGACAAAGGGTGATCCCCAGGCCTTGCAGCATGCTGCAGCTTTCATCCTGGAGTCTGGAAGATCCAGCATCAATAAGGGAGAAACTGAACCTTGGGATGGAGATCTAAGTGCAATAAATGATCTCACATACCCTACAGCACACTGGCATCTTGTCATTTCCAACCTGACTATTCTGTTGCCATATCTTTCCTTGAAAGATGTAGAGTATATTGCCAGTGTGCTTCTGGAGACATCAGTATTGGCCAAAGCCCAGGAAGCTGATGGAGACGAGGAGCCTTCCATCAGCATTGGAAAGGTGTCTCTTGGTTTGCTGCATAGTCCCTTTCTCCCAGAAATGAAGGTGTTGCATTGTGCTTTTCTGAGCAGCCTTATTCATCAGTTCAGTAAAGTGCTGCACCCTGCCAGAGGTTCTGTAGATCTGCCACTTCAACAGCTGTCTGCAGATAACATCCCTTGGCATGAAGAGATCCTGTCTCCTTGCAAAACTGCTGAACTGGTGGAGGCTCCATCAGAAAACAAACCCCCGAAGGATGAATTCAACTCGTCTTGGAAGACGCTGGAGAAAGCTGCCCAGTGTATTTTATTGCTAGCGAAAAATGGTTCTCCTGTCATCCTGAAAGACAATCAGCTGGAAAGTTGTTTGAGTTTGCTAGAAATTGCTTCTCTTCTGAAACTAGACAATCTTTTTCCCTCAGACTGTATCCGTTGTCATCTCTTGCTGCTGTCCTTGGTAGCGAATACCAGAGCTAATGCCTCTTGCAGCAAGGTGCTATCTTTGAAATTTTTGCGGACCTGCTTCCACCTTCTGAGGTGCCTGCAAGCAGGTCGGAATGCCAATTCTGTTTTTAAGGTTTTTCATGCCAGTGACGCCCTTGAGGCTGTGATGACCTCCCAGTTCACAATCAGCAAATTCTTCGCTAATACTTTGACTGATCCTGCCTGGACAGAGTATCTCCAGGAAGCTCAAACCTTTCTGGAGCACTTTCTTCAGATGATTGTTGAACGACGCCAAAGTGTGAGAATCAATTTGGAAAAGTTCATGTCTTTCCTGGTGAGCTGCAAGCCAGATGCTGGTGCCGCCAGAAGTAAATGCTGTAAAAACTGGACTCCTGCAGCTGGGCAGCTGCTGCTCATGGCATTTACCACACTGTGCCATGTCATCACCCTTTACCTTCAGCAGCAGCCAGAAAAGAAACTGCAGTCTGGAGCTGTGCTGCCGGCTCTGCTGGAGCCAGCGATCGTGCAGATGGGACGAGCTGTTGAACACGGTCTGCAGAGCAACGTGCAAAGCCAGCCTTTGCCCATAGCGTTCATACCATCTGTCACTACTCTCCTCAAGGCGGATCTGAGCCATGCCCTCAGTAAAGGGGGCTGGCAGAAGAACCCTGAAGAGCCCAGCGGCTTTTTGGAGCGTCCCCGCATTAAGCTCTACCAGCAGTTTTACTCTCAGATACTGAGAGAGCTGCCCTCTGCAGGAGGACATCTCCAGTTCCTTCAGTCTGCCTTGCAGTTCTTAACTGTCTTCTGCTCAGTACCTGATCTGTCTTCTGGAAAAGAAACTGCAGTAACTGTGGTTTATGCTGTAAAAAAGCTTCTTGCTGGTATGAAGGCTCCCTTTTTCCATTTCCTTTGCTAATTTTGCAGCACAGATGTGAGTTAGAAGTCCTTCATAGCTTTTTTATGTTATTTATTTATTTGTTTTTAAGAGGCTGTGTGTTTTGTATTTCTTTCCACTTTTGTTAAATGCTTCCTGCTTTTTTTTTTTTTTTAATACCCAACTAAGTTTTCTCAGGGATATTGCTTTCGTATCTGGACCGCAGCAGCCATCTAATTTGATACGGGTATCTCAGTAAGATAGATTCTGCAGCCTGTGGTTATTTTTTTGTGCATGAAAGGGAAAGATAATTTTCTCATCTTATCTTAGAACTTTATTACCATTAGCATCTTAGGGGCTGAAGTACCTATTTTTCCTCTATCTCTGATTTTTCTTTTTATACACTTAAAGATTTTTATAGGTATCCGTGCAGATGGTTATCCCAGTTTTGGACATTAGGGTGTGGAAGTTGTCCTCGGCTCTTTGAGATTATAATAGCTCTTCATAAATGGAGCTGATTTCTTTTTTGCCCCATGGTTGTAAAGCATTCTGGTAATAACCAAACTGAGGCGGTGCTTCCGGAGGCACGGCTTGAAGATGTTCTCCTCCCATGGTGGGTAGAGCAGGCTGCACTGAAGCAGCTGATGTGCTCAGATAACCTGATATGCCTCACCTGAGGGTGTCGGAGGACTTTAAAAGGTATAGATGAGTATTTTTGTCTGTATTTGAAAGGTAAAGTGTCAAAAAAGGAGGTGATCTCACTATCAGGAATGCTAAATACCTGGAATTGTGACCAGGTCCGGGGGAATCTGGCAAATCAATCACTGTCCTCATCAGACAAGGAGCCAGGGCTGGAAATGACGTGAACCCTTTTCTTCTTGCTAGCCCTGTGGCATAACAGCTCCCTTGCATTGTCTTGTTTGGAGTGTGAGATGAGCTAATTGCTGCCAGTGACATGCACCGCATGAGCATAGCTGCTCCCTTTGCCTTTTCTGAACAATTGGACTCTGTCTTACTTTTGCTATGCTCTAGCATACTGGCATTCTTTCAGATTTTATGTTGGCATTAAGTAGTTAAGTCTAGAGCACAGCTCTGCATGGAAAATCTGATCTTGTACTAGCACAGTTGAGTTTCAGCTGGAACTATTACATGTAGAAGATACAGGATCAGTGTGTCTCTTCTCTGGGCTGTGTTTTGATTCTCCTGAGTTTTGGTGTTCGGTACAGGCCAGTGTGAGAGCAGAGCTTTTATAGTGGGACTAAGGGCCACAAACAAGTATCACTTGCTGGAATTTTCTGCTAATTTTTCACTGCTGCTCTGTGCTTCTCTCTCCTAATATAAGACTGGTAAAGTGCTTTTGCCTGAAGACCTAATTAAGCACTGTAAAAAACTATAAGAATTTCTGAGTATGTAAAGTATTAAATAAGTTAAAATACGCATTCTTGTTGAAGAGGATTTTTAGCATTGCCACAGATCCTGTGGCCACTTTTGGAACTAAAGAACAAGTGCAATAAATTGAAAGGTAGTCTAGACGTGTAGTAAGTAACTGAACTGTGTAAGTGGGGAGTATGGCCTATGATCTGCAAAAACCTAAACATTTTAGGCTTAATGCCTTTATGACTTGTGATGGCTCTCTGGCCAACGTGCCTACTGTGGCCCTGAAGCTTGTCCAGTCCGTTCCCCTTGCCTGTGTGCAAACTTTATCCCAGCATTTCCACAGTGAAACCTTTCTGTGGTGATGCTTTCTGCTCTGTGAGCTCTAGAGTGTGAAATATCTGAGATCAGCAGATCCTCTCACTAGCAGCGGGGAGGGTGAAGGGATAGCATGGGGGAATCTATGCACATAGTGGCTGAAAGGATACACACAGAACTGTACTGAGTTTTGATTGTTTTTCTCCTGTTCTTACCTCTGCCTGCCTCTGCATTGGGAAGTGATTCAGATATGTTTGTGTCTTTTGAATATGCAGGTCCTGAAATTACAGTCCAGGTGATTCAAAATATAGAGATGGAACTGACAGAATTACTTGTCCAGCTGTTAGGAAACTGCTCTGCTGAAGAGTTTTATGCTGTAATGAGGCTGCTTCTTCAGGGACTTGAAGTGAGGAACATTTGGCAACAGAACGCTAAAGTAAGGAATGAGTTTTGATTTATTTTTGTTGTGCTTTTCTTCAGTTTTCTGTATCTTGAAAAATCATGTTAGCTGCCTGACATCTGATGAATATTTCTTCCTCTTCCCGCTTTATGTTCAGCTGTCAGGTAGAATTAACTGGCATGGCTTGATGCCTGTGCTGAGGTGTGCCCTTGACCTGACGGGTAGAACCTCTGTGAAAGGCCATGGCAGCTTTTGGTTATGGAAAGATTATCTGTCCTGCTCAAGGACTTAGCAATTCTGATTTCAGGTACCGTCCACAAAAATCACTTGGGATATGATTTTATAGGCCATGCTGAAAGCTTTTTTCTACCTGCTGATCAGAGTTCTTGCACATCAGACACCATCAGTCAGTGAGCTTAACTCCTCTATGTCTGACTCTTCAGATCAGGGTTAAAAGGCATACTACTTTTAAAATGCTAGTAGTTCTCTGAAACCTAAACTGTACCCATGTTTTCGTTATTTGTCCCTGTAAAGATTCTATTCTGTAATAACCAAGCACCATTCAGTAGCTTTCTGAATAGGGTGCCTTTCTCCAGAGAAGCTTGAACAGCAGGAGTAGCATGTGGAATGCCTTAGAGCTAAAAGGCCAGATGTAGCCTCTATATTAAAATGTCAGTGTTTCTCTATTTGACGGTTTTATTTGTCAGCAGCGGGCACGAGTGTGCCATGTCAATACCTACTATGTCTTTTTTGAAAACGTATCTGGAATTCCTGTAATACTCATATATTCCAACCATCCAACTGCATAGGCAGTGGGATATGTAGACATGCACTGTGAGCTTGAAATACAGTGATAAAAGACCAATTGGCTTTGTCTTGTAATATATTTTTTTAATCAGTCTGCCATCACAGCTAGCAAGTAAATCCCTCTCCTGTTGCCAGTGTAGCATTCTTAGTGTTACACACTCTCTGCTTCTGTCTATTGTATGGGAGGAGTTGAAGGAGGAAGCTTTCCTTTTGTAAAAGCACTTAAATATTTTTATGCCATAAAGTGATTCTAAAACAGATGCAGTGCACAGTGTATTTGGGCAGATGCAGTTCAGCATACTTAAATTTGCACGGCTGCTAATCATTTCACAGTTCACAAAGATGGGTCGTAAGAGAGCTTTCATGTGTCAAGGTAATGCCCAAAACTGCCACTGCCCTTGGAAGAGTTCTGCTGTGCTAGAAATGAGCCCGTGCCTCTGCATCCATGACTGACTGCTGATCTGTTTTCTGCAGGAAGTGCTGTCAGCGGTTACTCTAATCAAATTGTTGCTCAGCTGCCCATTAAATGGAGACAAAGAAAAAGCTTTCTGGTTTGCCAGCCCACAGATAATCACAGCTTTAGCTGTAAGTATCCCTTTATTGTTACTTAATTACCTGTTCCCTTTCATTTGTTGGAGTCTGTAGTGATTGCATCTGTAACGTACTTCTTCACACTACTCCCTGTGTAACCCAAGGTACTAGACAGATTTTCAGATTCTCTTGCACTGTTTGGTTTAGACCCCTTTTGTCCTCCTTCCTCAAGTAAATGTTCTGTGGACGTAGTGTGTAGGACACCCACTTCTCGTTAGCCGTAGCTATATAGGGCTAGACTGTGTAATCTGGAGCTGGGGGGAGACTTCTTGTGCAGCAGAGAAAGGAGTCTGAGTCTCCCGTCCTTCCTCTTATCCAAAAGAGAAGGAAGCTGTCAGCTTAGCTTCTGCTGTGACATGTGGCTAACAGCAACAAAATGTAGGGGGAAGTGCTCATAAAGAAAAAAAATTAAATTCACTCAGTTATGAATAGAAAACTTAGCAGAAAGTAAGCAGAGCCAAGTTCCCTCTTGGCTGTACAGCATACAAATGCAATGATGTAAGTTTTGAGTTTTGTTTTGTTTGCTTTTTTTCCATCATGATGGTGGTCTCTCTAGACTAGAGTTCATCTGGTGTTGGCTCTGCAGTGCCTGGGAATCTTGAGGGTGAAATTTCTGCTCTTTGCAGTGGGTCTGCATGGTGTTTGTGGAGCAGAGAATGTCTGGATCACTGCATTCATGGGAGGAGATGCAGAGAGGTTCTGGTTATTGCAGCCTTTCTGCATCTTTTCTAGGAGACTGGTGTAGAGCTACAAGTTCACACTTAAAGCTGTGTGTGTGTTATATCCTGTGCCTAGCATACAGCTCCAGCAGAATAGCTAAAGTGGAGGAGTCTCCCTGCCACCACTGCTTGCACTGATGTTGTTTTAGGGGCTCAAGTCAGAGTGTTGTGTTAGGCTCTCTTGATGCACACCTCCTCTCTGCCTCCCTGTCTCTGTGTAGATGCAAACCAAAGAAGCCTGTCAGGACCAAGCACTGATTTCCAGCATGGTTGTGCCTATCCTGGAGACCACAGCAGCTCTGCTAAGGCAAGGAGAAGGGATTCTCTCGAACCCTCACCACGTAGCCTTGGCATTCAGCATTCTCCTGACGGTCCCACTAGATCATCTGAAGATGGAGGACTACGGCAGTATCTTCCTGGGAGTCCATGAAGTGCTGTTCTCTATTCTGCAGTGTCATCCAAAGGTATCTTTGAGGGGGGTGGGAGGAGGAGAACAAGTGAGACAGAGGCCAATGATTAGAAACAGTTTTTTAATAGCAGTTTTAATTGGTTTGTCCTGGTAATACCAAGATACTCGTAGCACTTGTCATGTAAAAGGTTGGGATTCTCAAAACTGCATCATTCCAGATGCTCTACTCCTCTGTTTTTATACCTGCATTGTTAGAGTCTTTGGCAGCAGATTTCTTATGGACCTCTGAGGCTAGTTTAAAGTAAAACTTTCCAAAACTTATTATTCGTAGTGGGTCGTGAATAATCTGGAATCTTATGAAATCACTTAGGCACTAGAAGTCTGATTTTACTGGAGATCAAGATTTTTGCAGGCCTTTAAAAATAGGGCTGGGACACGTTAAAGATGACTACTCACACCAGGAACATAAAGGCAGGGGAGGAAGAGAAAAGAAGGCAAGGGACCTCAGGCATTAACACCAGGACTGAAAGTGAAAAATGATAAAAATAGGGAAATATTCCCTATTTTTATTTATTTTATTTATTCCAATTCTAAAAGCAAGGCTAAAGTGCCCTGACAAAAATACTGGAATAGAAAGCTTGCTATCCAGAATGTTTTTGTACAGTGGTCTCTAGTGTTACTGGACCTTTAGTCTGTCATCTGTTTGGCTACTCAGGTTCTCGACCACCTAGAGCAGATTTCCCAATCATGAGGGGATTCAAACACTGATTAATAGACAGAGAGTAACTCTAGTGTGATTTATTTGTTATTTTTATATGTAAGTACATCCAGGACTCCTGCACGAGGATTTTCGTGTGCTGGGTTTGTACGTATGCAGGATGGAAAGATGTTCTCTGCTCTGGACAGCTGTATGAGCTGTACAGCTTTCTTCTCAGGACTTGCATGCACTCGGACTGTATCTCCTCCTCCTTTCCTTTTACCCCATAGTCTCAGGTAGTTTTCATGTCATGTCGTTACAGGTTATGTTAAAAGCAGCACCATCTTTCCTGAACAGCTTCCATCGTCTGGTTGTTTCTGTTATGCACGAAGGGCGTCAGAAAGGAGACAAAGGTACTATAGCTTTTCCGTTTGCACGCTGTATTCTAACCTTGTGTGTTTTAGAAGATGAGGTTCAAAATGGGGCAGCCTGTAACACCAAAGGTAAAATTGTCAAAAACCTAGTATGGCATTGAAAAAAAAATAGCCCTCTCTGTCCTATACACACAAGTGAGAAGAAGCTCTGTAGGAGCTTGGACTTACAAAAATAACTGATGCTTTTGTGAAACTGTCTCCAGACAGGGTGTGCTTTGGGTGTACATAAGGTATTCTTTACTGGCTGGCTGGCTGGTGAACAGGAACCTTTGCCCAGTTTCTACTGATATTTGCTAACATGCCTGAGTGACAGACCCAAGTCACTCCCACTAAATGGAACTTCTCAAGACTAGAAGTGATTACTACAGACCTGAGTTTTCACCAGTCTGTGCTATATATAAAAACAGGACCTTGCATGTCTAAAGCATCAGTTGAGATTAGTTGGTATGTCTGTATGATTAAGGAATTTCAATCTCCAAACAAAATAATAAAAATAAATAAATAAATAAATAAAACTTTGCTATACATGAAGTTCTGAAACAGTTTGCATTGGCCCTGGAGCATGAATGTGCAAGGAGCCAAGTGAAGGAGGTCCAAAGAGATTCACACTGATTAAGGTCCTTGTCTGGTACTTCGATTTTATGCTGGTCGGTAAAAAAGTAACCCAGTTATAGTGATGACATTTTGAGACAAGGGAACTTCATGGCCTGCAATTACCTGTGTCCTAGCTCTCCTCTGATGTCCCACAGCTTATTTCATATCGAGATTCAGACGCAATTCTGTGTCCACAGCTGTGGACAAATGTAAACTTGGGCATCGTGGGTGAATACGCTAAGACATTCCCAGTGGTAGCAGAAGTATGTTCACTTGGTGCCAGGCTTGGAGAATTTGCCAGCTTCCGTAGTATTCATGCGTGCATGAGAGAAGGAAACTTGGGTACAGGGCATCCTCAAATTTAAAGATGCATTTATGTTTGCAGGACTGTTTGTTTTCATAACAGGTAACATGAAAGCTATTTCCAGACTTTTTCTTCCATATTTCTATTCATTCTTCTCATTCACTGCGTAGTGAAAAAGAAACCTTCTCAGGTGCTCTTTTCAGTCTTTATTTATTTATTTATTTAATCTCCAGCACTGTTGCTTCTGTTGAGTTATTCCATATAATAAATCTCATCAGAAAACTTTCTTAATATACTATTTCCAGGATTATTTCTGATTTCCCGTCAGGTAGGGAATCTCGTTTCCCAGTCTGCTTGTTCTCTTCTCCAGAGTACTCATAGGACTGGATCATAGATGGGACCATAGCTGCTACCTCTAACATTTCAGCATATAAAATAATACTTTTTGCCTTGCAATGAGCGTAGAGTTGGGAATTGGTGTGCTCTTATGGGCATTATTATTGCAAGAGAGACATGGAGGGATGTAAAGGTATATAGGGTCTTTCAGCTGTGTCTTGATAACAAGAGAAAAGATTAAATAGGCAAGCCGATACTGGCTTTGTGTACTTAAGGAATCGTAGAGGATTGCTCTGTGAACCTGGGAACATTTTCTAATATTCTTAACCCTCAAAAAATGCAACTTGTTTTCTATTCTAGTCAACACAGATGAATTTGAAATCGCCTTGAAATGTGCACACTTGGTGGAACGAATGTATACACATATTGCTGCAGAAACAGAAGAATTCACTGTGTTTTCTGCTTTCATTGTGGCCCAATATGTGACTGAATTGCAGAAGGTAACATCCACTCATGCATTTTGGAAGTGCCATGATAATGGGCTGGCTTTGGAGTTGTTGTTTTAAAGACAATTGTGTTAAATTTTGTAAAATCCATTAAGTTTTAAGATTTGCAAGGTATCATGAGAATACACTGCTGATACAGACTGCCAGTTAGTTACAACCTTTGAACAGAGGTTCCTGAGGATATTTCTTACCCAGGGGCTAAAAACTTCTGAAAGAAGGGGAAAAAAAGAGGGGGGAGGGGGCAGATCAATGCAGTATCTGTTCACAAAAATGCTTTGCTTTTCCATCTTGTTTTGACTCTTGCTTTTTCTTCATATGCTGGTTCAGGCTTTTCTCCCAGGTAGTCTCATCTGTTCGGGATTGATATTAGGTAGAGCCCCATCTGTCAAAGCAATGGAGAAAACAATCCCTTGGGGAAATATTTTTTACTCTGGTCTAAATGAACAAATGAACGGAAAAATGTTTCCAAGCCAGAGAAGTGGTGGCTTTTCAGTAATTCTTCCACTAAAGCTATCGTTCTCATGCTTTCTGAAAGCAGCTGCTGCTGTTATTACAGATGCCAGAGCGAGGTCAGTAGCTCCTCACATCCAGGACTAAATTGAAATTGTTCTTCTGTTACGAGCTAATGAATTTAGATATTGCCAGCATTTGAACACCGCTGACACTGCCAGCGTCTGGAAGCTGAGTGTTTGTGCTGAAGCTGATGGTGACTGGAGCTGGCCCAGCATGCAAAAGGGGAGCTTAGTCAATATTTCTAGGCTCTCTCAGCAGAAGGATATCCTAACCTAAAACCACCCTATAACTAACAATGAAGATTGTTAAGAGCTTAAACTCAGTTGTCTTTTCTACTGCTTGCAAATTTTCAAATGTTTGGGAGTAAGATGATGGGCTAAGCCAGTTCTTAGCTGTTATTCAGCTTTCCTGGTGAGCCACGTCTTGTTTATGCACTATATAACATTGCTAAGCAAATGCTAGAGCCAAACTAATGGTGAGCCTACTTGTCCTCTGGTTAAGTAGTTCTGAACTTCTCTCCATCTACTCATCACTGAATATAGAGCCTTCCCTCAGACCCCCGCCCCACCCCACTCCTCCTCTCTGATTTTATTTGTCAAATGATGTTTTTGAGCTAAAAGGGCACTTAGTAGGCTGGAGTACAAAGTCTTGTAAAACTTTCGGGAAGGTTTTATGTTAAACTTCCCCTGATGCACAACCAAGTGATGGATGACTGTTGAAACCACCACCAAATGATGTGTGTACACACATCAGGATATGGAAAGGGAAATCTGAAATGAGTCACTGGACCCTGTGACAAAAGGACGCTTTCTATCTTTGATGTAATAGATAGGAGGTGATGATTTATTTACCCATTAGACAGGAAAGAGTTGGTAGAACTGAGGGAATCCATCAGAGGGAAATAGAGGCTTCAACACGGCTGTCTTGCAGAGGAATCTACGTATCTCCTTTTATGCTAATTTACAGGGAGAGAAAATAAACTGCTTTTAACCATTCCTCTCTCCAGAATCAGATCGGTAGCTTTCAGCCTGTGATTGGAAGACCTGGAGGGTCTATGACAGGTAGCTGAGCAAAGCAGGTTGTCAGTAGCTTTGTGTTTTTGTGCACGCTGACTGAAACCCTTTGTAAGGATCTCCAAGCTAAAACTGATGAAAGCTGCTGGAATAAAAATAGTCACTCCTAAGTGCAGTTCTGGAACAGTTTCCTCTCCTGAAAGATCAGTGCTTCCCCTTTATATTAGGGAATATATGTATCTGTGAATGGTTCAGTGATAACCTGGAAAGATTCCTTGCTGGAATATGCGGCATCTAAAGCCTCTTTCATGCTGCTGATGGTGCTTTTCCCATGTTATCTCTGAGCTGTTGCTTAATTCGGCAGAAGTGAAATACCTCCTCACATGCTTAATGTGTCCCATCAAGAGTGCTGTAATGCTTGACAAATTGGTTGCACTAACTATATAGATCATAAAACATTTATAAGCATAATTAACTGCCAGCCAACAGTGGCAGCTCTTTAAATCTTTGGTTTTGCTTCCCATAGTGTTACTGGATGGTGTTTAGGGGAAGCTGCTCTGCAAAGCAAGAATGGCCCAAAGAAGGCACAGGTCCAGCTTAATTTGTGATGTGAGGGCTGTAATTCCATTAACTGCAGCTCTGAGGTATCTGTTTACACCAGGAGGGACACCTCGTCCTGGCATGTCAGGAACGGGGGGTTTTCCCATCTTCATTCTCTGAAATCATTTCTCTGGGCTGCCAAAAGAGAGACAACACGATGCATTCGCTAGGGGTGCTGCTGCAGTTGTGATGCTCACTTCTGTTATTTTAGTGCATGCTAGGGAGAAATAACAGCTTTTATTAGCCTTCTACTAGATCAGCTGACACAGGGGAAAATGGCAAGTTTTGGGCACATAAACTTCTCAGGGTCACAGAGGCAAAGACAGGCTTATGTGCCTTAATATTTGTTATATATTTTCCCCAGTTGTATCGGCAAATCTAATAAAATATATTGCTTGTTCTGTGTTCAGAGTAGGAAGAGCAGGAACCTGACACAGTGATTAGGAGTTCACTTAATTAGTGGAAAGTTTATTAGTTGCCTCAGGAAGAAAGAAGTCTGAATTTTAACGACAGCCTTTTATGTAATTTTCATTAGGTCTGGAGTGTAGAGGTTTAGATCTGGAGGCAAAAAGCTAATTTGGGGATTCAGCACAGATAAGACCTGCTTCTTTGGCAAAAATAATGTGGTTATGCCAGAGGCCAGCACTGCCTAAGGCAGTGGAGCATTTAGCAAGTGGTTTGTGAGCTCAGGACAAATTCCAGTTTGCCTGGAGCATGAAGGGGCTCCGGAGTGAGCCCAGATGTTCCTGGTTGGAGCGGAGGCTGAGCGGGGGATCATGGCAGGAGCAGGGCAGGGAGTCAGGCGTTGTACTGGCAGTCCCAATTCTTCCATCAGCTTTCTGCCTGACTTCCAGCGCTTGATTTCCAGTATTAAAGCAGAGCAAATAAATATACATCTCCTGAGTTGTGGAGGAGTTCTTTTAATAAAGCTGGTAAAATACACTGAAACCCTTGGATACAAATTGTTAGATAAATGGTAAATATCAAGTTGTTAAACGATAGGTAGTCAATCAGTTTAAGCTTGTAGTGTAAATGATAGGGTAGCCTGAAGGAAGGGCTCATTTGGAGCTAAGACTTAAATAGCATACAGCTAAGCCTTGCTAGTGTCCAGGCATGATGAGCTGTACAAAATCATCTGAAACGTGTTATCCAGGGCATGTGTTTTATCTATCTATTTTTAATTGAAGCTTTTCTGCTGAGGAGTTTTCACATGATTGCAAGATGATCAATCATTTACCTCCACAGCAGGATGTGTATAGTTGCACTCGTATGCATGTTATTGCAAGAGACATGCTTATTTTGCAGAACGCATTTGCAAAAAGTCAGGAAAATATTGCATAACTAGAAATTTTGAATTGTATCTAGTGGACGATTGCAGATGGTCTGATACATTGGGTTGCATTTGTCAGCACTTCAGGTGTGGGGGCGGTTTTCTCCGGCCTTTGTGTCTTCAAGTTTAATATAGTTTTTTCTTCTCCCAGGTGACTTTGCACCCAGCTGTGAAGAGGCATCTCACAGAAGGGATATATCGCATCCTTGACCTTTGCATTGAACGAGATGTCAAGTTCTTAACTGCGTCACTGCCAGCAGGTGTAAGGGAAGTCTTTAAAGATCTGTACAATGATTACAACCATTATCACAAAGCAAAAAGACAAGGGGAGGAAAAATATACTGCCTGATGAACTGTGTCCAGTGCTGCGTGATTAGGCACGATCTGATCTTGTGCAGTGCTCAGAAAATCCTCAGTGGCCAATTGATTCAGGGTGCTTAGAAGGATGCAGAGGGTTTCACTTGAACGCAGATTGCATCTGTCCCTGCAGCCAGCCCTTATCCCGGGGCAGAGGGGCGGCTGGCAGGAGCTGGTGCTGTGGGATGTTTTTCCCCTGCCTGCGGCGCGCGGCTGGGCTGGGCCTGGGAGCCGCCGCGTGGCGCGGTGCGTGTCCCGCTGCAGGCAGTGCCGCCGTCCCGCGCCAGCAGCCCCCGGGGCAGGGAGGCTGCGGCGCCTCGTTCCTGCCCTCGCGTCCATGGTGAGCACAACTGGATGCAGTTAAAGCACATCCATTTTTGTGCCATATTGTTTTACATTTGTACTGAGGAAGGGTGGGGATGTTGTACGTCTGTACACTTGGCTACTCTTACAATACTGTGGAAAAACAGTAAAAAAATTTGAAAACTTGTATCTCTCTGGTCAGTTTTGGTGTTGAGCACAGCCCTGAGCAACTTTGACTGGCTTCTAGAGGTCCCACGTGAATTAGTGAATGGTAATCAACAATGCCAACTGCTTAAAGTGTCACTGTCGCTAAGCAGCTACACGTAGTCCCCTGAGTTGCAGTAGCTCTTGGTGTATGTTCAGCTTGTGGCAGATACTCGGTACCCGGCTTACCCCGGGCTTGAAGCAAACTGCAGCAACGACACCGAGTCGAAAAGGTGGTGTGGGCCTGAGCTGGGGACAGCAGTTATGCCTGCTCGCTGAGGACCAGGAGTCAGGGAGGGACCTGGTGCACTCCAGAAGGGAAGGATGAACGAGGAGGGTGCAGCCAAAGGGACGCCAGGGAGAGGAGGGCCTGAGGGTGGGGGCAGTCACTGCCCTAGCAATAGAAGGAAGGTGATGGGCACTGGGAGAGGATCTGAGTGAGGTGAAGAGGAACAAGGTTTGAACCGAAACAGGAAGGAAATGCCTAGCTTGAATGAATGAAAAAATGGAACTATGTCAAAATGAAAGGTTTGTTTTCAAATGTGCTATCCAACTGCTACTTGTCCTATAGTCCTCCTTTCCTGGATTAACTCATCAGAAATTCAAAACACAAATCAGCATTTTTGCGTAGAAGTTACAAAGAGGTTAAGACGATGACTGTTTTTCACTCCTTAATCCTGGGTCTTTGTCCAAGAACCGCTCTGGGTTTTTCAGCTAGAATAAATTAAGTCACGGGGATAGGGCCACCTACTGCGGGAGCAGCCTGGGTCCCCTTTGGGTGCAGTTTGGCTCTTGTGTCGCACGATGGAGCCCTGCTGCAAAGGCAGGGAGACACCTCTGCTCACGGAGCGCCAGGGCGGCCTTTCCCAGGCCCTGCCAGCTAAGGGGTGCTGAGCACTAGGAGGGCAGTGGGCTTGGGAGAACTGACCTCTCCTGTCTAAAGGACAGGGCTGACACCTTATTTAAGCCTAGCAGTGGCTGCGTGCGAGTGGAGCTGCCACGCACACCGCACCCCCACCTACCCCTGCAAAAAACAGCTCAAATAAAGAGGCAGGATGGGAGAGAAGAAGAGAGTCACAATGGGCAAAGACTATGTTGGTTTCATTTTTCTGGTTTTAGCTGCTTTCTGCTGCTGTAGAAATCAGAAGATTTTTCTGTCTGCCTGGGGGTGGGACTTGATGTCTATTTCATGTTGCTATAATGCTCAAAAATGGTGTGAGGTGGTAGAGCTTATTTTGCTGGTTTAGAAAGGATTTTTTTCCTCATAGTTTTTACTACTGGGAGGAGACAACATACTTGGGACTTTCCTTAGAGTTTGAAATGGTTAAAAAACTTCATATTTGTCGTCATCTGTGGCTGTTGGAAAATAATAGGCCCATTCCAAAGCTTCCCTTTATGGATTAAAAACTCACAATATGAAGAAAGGAGTATTTTGATAGATTCTTTTATAATCACTGCTGTGCCATTAAATGTCTGCAGTGATAGTAGCTGTGCTGGGGCTATTTAATCTTTGTGTGTTACTGACTTGTAAGGACGCTTGCCTGAGGTGCAATAATTACTTTTGCATTTGAAGTAGATACTAGCCATTCAAATGGAGAATTGCATTTGTGTCCTAAACAGTATTTATAGGAATGGGGAAATGATTCTGGGGGGATCTCAGTGTAGTGTCTGCTCTGTTTTTCACAAAGAAGCAAAGAAAAATTCCATTGTAACTTTTTTTGCCAGTGCCAGTGTTGGCATTTGCCATGATGAGTTCAGTGGCATCTTATGCAAATAATTAAAATTTCCCAAAAGCAAGACACCTGTTAACTGCATTCACAGTAGAAGACTTGTCAGATGCAAGCAAGTGGAAGTGCAACCTGATTTGCTATAGAGTTGTAATGATTTGTATTCATGCATTATTAAAGTATGAAAAAAGTTTTCTTGGTAACTTTAAAGCCTGGAAGATTCATGAGAGAAAATGTGTTCCTGTGAACTCGGAATGCTCACAGTCCAGGAGAGCCCTCTAGCAAACCCATCAGGGGTTCTTCACAGAGATTTGCCATTTCATCTGTTCTTCCCAAAATATCAAGTGCCTACATTGTATTGCAATCCCTTTCTTCCTGAAGGAGGACACTTTTATTATCATTATTATTACATATTTCTAAAGATAGTAAAGAAAGAAGATGACAGAAATGCATTTTGTCCTTCGGATGCCCATTCCATCATGAGGGTAGAGTGCAAGTGTGGGTCTGCAATAGCTTTTCTGCAGTAGCTGCTTGGTCCTTAGTTCCAGAGCTGTTTATGTATCAGAATAAGCCTCCTCCAACACAGTTCTTGGCCCTTCCTTTACAAACTGGTGGAGACCAGCTTATAGCCCTGCAAAGCGAGCAGCACTGCTTTGATGGCTTCTTACAAAGGTTATATTCAGAATTGCTTCGTTGTGGAGGTAGGATGGGGTGGCCCACAGGTTTTTCAGTCCCAGCCAGATATTTTCTCATGGACGCTGCCGCATATTGGAGGTCCTCTTCTTCCTGCAGGGTAGTAATGGCTTTTCCACTCTTCCCCACAATAAAAAAAAGGCAGGAGTCTTTCTGCTGATTTCTGGTGAAGAAGGGAGGATTGAGAGAGCAAGAAAAGAAATAGGAGGAGGAGGAAATAATGAATTGTCCCCTGTTAATGCATTCATTGACTCAGGTTTCCTTCTCTTAGGTTCAGGCACTCCTTTTATTCCTATGGTCTTCACTTGAGGTGTTGGTTTCTCAGAGTTTCAGAGAGCTTTGCCAAGGCTTCTCGGGAATAGGACGGCAATACTCCGTTTTAAAAGGATGAGGACCAGGTGGGGACTGCTTCTACTGTAGGAAAAGAAAAGAAGACGCTCCGGGTAACTGAAAGCAGAGCAGCTCGGAATGCCAGACTGCTTCTCCCAGTGTGTCTCAAGCATCCATCGTTTTATTGGATATTACACGGGCCCAGAGGCTCCATTCAGGAGTCTCCCTGTGTGTGGCAGCGTGGGCTGCAAGAGGGCAGTTGCTGCCCTAACACGCTGGGGTGTGAATGCCAGTGGGTGGGAAAATAAACACGGCAGGGAGAAGCGACTGCTCTGTGTTTAGTTTTTCAGAGCAGCACGTGGGAGTTCTCTTTAGTAACCTCGGGGAATAGTGGTGATAGTTTATTCTTTCTTTCCTGGAGGAAAAGGATGGGAGAGTAAGTGACCAGAAAACAAAACAATTAAATATTTATTTTAGTGACACAAGCAGTGGACAAGTCCGTAAAACCAAATTTGATGAGCTCTGCTGCTGGCACGTTCCGTGGCCCGTGCAAACAAAGCCGCAGCTTTGCTGGTCAGTGTATTAAGCAGTGGAGGAGAGTGATTTATTACTGTGCATCCGCTCAGTAATTGTCAGTCCTTAATCCCCTCAAGGGAAAGTAGCCATCTCTGCTTATCACCTGAGGAAAGACACGGGAACAGACAGATGCCTCAGCCTGGAAGAAAGGGTTGCCGGCTGAACACAGCTCCTCTGTCCCAATTAAAGTGACTGCTGGTTGTTCTAGTCAACAAGACTCTGATGCAGCCGGTCCTGAGCACCCGCTGTTGGGAGTAAAGCTCGGAGCAGAGATTTGGTTTTATTCCTGGCTCTGTCGCGGGTCACTTGCCTGTTGTGGTTCGCTTGCCTGTGCTTTGGTTTTGGTCTTTGACGCAGGCGTTCGCCCTCCGTGTCAGGGCCTTGGAGGCTCGCAGCGTGCTTCGTGTGCGGCGGGTGCCTGAGCAGGCAGGGCTCCCGCCGTGCTCCAGAGGTGAGGGCTGCAGCGTTACTGCAACGTGGTGCTCCTCGAAGTGCGGCGGTATTCACAACACCCCGAGCGATCGCCACAACGTACACTGATTGGCAGCGTAATTTCTGCCTGTCTTGCTCTCTCACCGCACATGCATGAAACTTCCCGTTGTCTCTGGGTGCACTTCAGGTTCTTTTCTAAGATTTCTCTAGACTACTCCATGTTTTCAGGAGACAGCTATGCGAATGTGAGCTGCTAGTACCTGATTTCTTCAGACTGGCATTTTAATGCTTTTGTTGTTAGTGTTTTTATAACCTAGGCTGATAATAATGAGAGTCTAGAGTATGTGCCTCCTGGTACCACATCCAAAGGAAGTGTGTGTTTAAGAAACCTGTTATTAGCAGCTCATATTTTGTTTGTGCAATGACATCTAAAAGACTTCCTAAGCTGCTTATTTTCCCTTACTGTAAAGGCAGATCTCGCACTGCAGCAGGGGACAGATCTGTTCTTCAGCTCTCAGCCTGCGCTGTGTTGTCTGAACGAGCAGAAGTCTGCGGGACGAGAAATGCTTTTGTTCCTGAGCCAGCTGGAAATCTCCCTTGACCCTTAGGCCCTTTCTGTGCAATAGCTGGAGATTATCATCTGTCAAAGTATTTCCTGCCTCACACCTGCCCTAAACTGCCTTCACTCTAAGAGCATCTTCAGAGCCCACATCTCATCCATTAGCAACAGCATTATTCTGGTAGCT